ACGGACAGACGGACAGACGGACAGACGGACAGACGGACAGACGGACATGGCTAAATCAACTCAGCTCGACGTTCTGATCATATAAGTATACATTTTCATGGGTCTATCTCTTTTTGTTCTGGTACTTACAAACATCGGACCAAAGTTATAATACCATTTCATGCTCATGAAAGGTATAAAAATTGCGCAAAAAAGCATTAAAGCAACCAAGCAAATCCTTGATAAATACTATAAGGCCTATGTTTCATCAATTTCAATGGTTAAGAAGTGATTTACTGAATTGCATTGTGGTCATATTAGCCTAAGCCAAACGTTCTGAAAGCAACGATAAAATCCTTGGAATTGTATCGGACGACCGGATAATCAAAGTACATGAGGCTGAGGCTGTAGGTATGTATACCAACTGCAGACACATCATATTTTACATTAATAGTTGAAGTTGCTATCCTCCTGACGCGTGTCGCGATTGCTCTTACTCGACCATTAGCGTAACCGTGTGATTATTTAAAATTTTTTTGCACCACATACTCCATAGACCAAGTAACATTTAAAGCAGTGGACTTCTCCGGTTGAAATGTCCCCTACGACTATTTCCAGCTCCCAATTTTGTATGTTAAAGTTTCTGTGTCCAATAAAAGGTCAGCACTAAAACAAACGTATATTTTAAGAACTTTGAGAAAAACTATAATGTATTTGCAAGGGTAAGAAAAAATTGAAAAACGCTGGGTATGTTGAGAAATACTAAAACGCTTTTTGAGACAAAAAATGTCTTTCATTCAATGACTTATTAAACTGTCCTCATAATATCAAACAAAACATTACGTATTGTCTTGCTCTCAGCATTCTGCAAATCAAAAGTGAACTGCTAACAAAGTTGCTGCTTTTAATGAACGATTGTGGCATTTACAATTTCGAAAAAGAGAGGATCTTAAGCGGATTTATTTTTCGTCCATGAAACTAAAAAACAAAAACAAATACCGAAAACAGCAATGCATGTACATGCGAAAGCAAAACAATCAATTTCATATTGACCACACAGATTAACTGCAACAGTGCATTGCAGTTACAGTTCCAACTTTAGTTGTAAAATTTTACTGCTATTATTATTTATATATTTTGACCATGCATACTTAATTTAGTTTAAAGTGCAATATATATATGTCCACGACAAAACGAATTTTTAGTTTGATATACATACATACATACATACATAGGTATATGCAAAGTTTTTAATAATTGATTTTATTTTTAAATGTGAAAAAAATAACTGCCGAATTCTGTATTGCGTTGTTATTTTAACAAAAGTATAAGATAAGTTTTTGGCATCGTTAACTGGAAATTATTTTAGCGCAAAAACAGTACTATAATTTCTTAGGCCTAGTAAGGAAGTATACAAAACTAACGCACGTAGTTCATATTTACGATAAGCGAAAGTTGATGCACAAATTATGACTTTATAGAAAAATTTTGTGTATAAGAAGTTTTAAGTTGAGTTAAGTGTATAATATATAATATTATTTTCAATATTGTATATTTACCACACATACATATAAAAAAATGTTTATTTAGCTACAATAGCCTTTTAATTTTTATTTATAAAATGTCCATATTTTACGCAAAAGACGTCCGTATATTTGTATTTTTAAAATTTCTCTTTAAATGTTTAATGAACATGAAATATACATACGTATGTATGTATATTTGCAATTTATTTGTATTCCTTAAACAAGTGTCGACTTGTAAAAAGCAAACAATCTTGTTACCTTATGTTGTTAAGTATTGTACTTACACTTATTAAAAACTGTTACACGAAATTAAAGAAAAAAATCGCTGCAACATATCTCTAAGCTTACCAGTAAAAGGTAACTATTTAATTTTTTTTAAGGAGAGGAACTTCGATAAACTTATGGCTGGTGATTTTCCATTCATGCAAAAATGTAAGACATTCCTCGTAGCAGTTTTAAGAAAGTAAAAAACTCGAATTCGGTATTATTTCAAAATGCAATTACAGTGGTGGCCAAATAAAAGGGGACGCGGCTTTTTAACAAGTTTTGTATACTTTTCTTTTGTTTATTGTTTATTTATGAAAGTACAGCTCAGTATCTAACAAAAATTATTTAAGTCCGAATTTAAAACTTTGTTAAAAAAACTAGGAAAATTCTACAAAATGTCATCGAAATTTCAAATTATATAATCGGATTTTTTAGAAAAAAGTTTGGTATGCAGTTTTGTAGCCCATTAAATTTTAATATGCATACAAAGTATGTTTGAAAAATTTTTTATGAAGGAAAATGCAGAACACGGCCTGCAGCAGATATTGCCAAAAATAAACGGTAAATCCTAGCTGCTTAAGAGCTACAAAACGGTATCATCGCTAGAATCTTTTAAACTTTCTGAATAAACATTTTGAAATTTCCAGGTAAATTTGTTCAAATTCCTTGAATTTTTATAAATCTTGCAGAGATTGTGAAATTTTGACTTACATGTTTTTTGTTAGATAGTGAGCTCTAGCTGTATAAAAAAAACATTAAATAAACAAAAGAAAAATAGCCAAAACTTTTTTAATTGTCACGCCCCTATTTGTTTGCCCATCATTTTTATTAATAATTTTTCGTAAATTTTGTATAGTATTTCAACGTTTAATATTTGTTTCGTATTTGAATTTTCCACACCTTAAGTTTTTTTTAGTCGTCCAAAAATCACGATAATTGTTTAGTCATCTACAAATTCAATCAATGAAAATGCCAAATTAACTCTCTTGTGACTACATATTCCGTAACAATAAATTATCCCACAGTTCTTAAATGGAAACCCACTACATTTACACAGTTGTAAGCATTTGCCGTATTTAAGAAATACATAACTAGATATCTTAGAAAGATATACCAATACATAAATAAAATAAAGTGTAATGCGAAATAACTCATAAACTAAAATAACCAAAATTGAAGTGGATTAATACAAGAAAAAAAAAACAACCGCTAAGACATTTTTCCTTATTGTAAAATGTTTTTAAGCCAACGATTTTAAACGATATTATATTATTCATAAAAGCTACGAAGCAAACAGGCATACATGCGCACATATTACAACCATGTATGTAGAGTAATGTATGTAAATATGTATGTAGTACATATTAAACAAACAAGAAATAAAAAAAAGATATCATTTGTGTAATGGCAACAACAAAACTGCATACGAAATTATTCAAATTAAGGCACACAAGCCAAAGGTCAAATTGTGTTATTGCAGAAAATTAGAAAAATATTCAACAAATACGTATGTATGCATGCGCGTTAACTGAATTGTACTTTGAAGAACTACATACATAAAAATTATTGACAAATTAAAAAATTGCGAATAAAAATCCTTTCAATCAAAATTACAATCACGTATTTTTATTTAAGTAAACAAATTTCCGCTTTGCAATCAGGCGTACGGAAATAATTTGTTTCTTACCACGTCATGGCGGCTGTTCGGTGTCCAAACTTTTGTCGTTCTTTGTATTGGCTGTTGCAATAAATAACTATAACATCCCGAAAATGGAGTCATGGTTAAGTAAAAAATATCAAACACTTTTTTTCATAATTCAAGATGTAGATGACAATTGCATTAAAAAAAAGTCTTAACTAAAACCCCTTTTTAAATCCTTTCATTTGATGTCCATATTGCCGCAATTTCAAAATTGTTTAATTTCCGCAAAAATTTTTCTCAGTGTATCTACGACCAATTACCACCAGGCGCCCATAATGGGGACGCAGGTGGCACCCGCAAAAATTTTTAAATTTTCTACTAAAATTTTTCTCAGTGTACGCAGTGACGCAATCCCAAAGGCTAAATTTTTTTTTTTAATTTTGTACTAAAACTTTTCTCAGTGTGCCCGCCGTGTGACCACCGTTCCGGTTTCCACCAGGCGCCCCTAATCGTAGAGCAAGCGGCTCCGGCAAAAACTTTTAAATTTTCAACTAAAATTTTCTCAGTGTACTCGACAACCCCATGTCCGGTTGCTAAAATTCCCGACTTCCACTAGACGCCCATAATCGCGGAGCAAATTTTAAAATTTTATAATTAAATTTTCCATTAACATTTTTCTCAGTGTACTCCACGACCACTGACCCGATCGCTAAACTTTCTAATTTCCACCAGGCGCCCATAATGGTAGAGCAGAGGCTCCCGCAAAAAATTTTAATTTTACCACAAAAATTTTTCTCAGTGTACTCGACGACCGCCGGTCCGGTTGCTAAAATTCCCAATTTCCACCAGGCGCCCATAACCGTAGAGCAGGTGGCTCCCGCAGAAATTTTTTCCGGCCGGAAGCTAAAATTCATTGCATACTTTTAGGCGCCGGATGTGGAACGTGGCCGCGAGCATTTCCACGTGAATTTGGCAGGAAGTATGCGCTTTTAGGTTAGAATTCACCTATTTTACTACAATTTGAGCAATTCCGAATTTTCTTGAATTAAATCATAGGAACATGCTTTTAAAAGGATTCTAATTAATAAAATAGACACATTTAAAGACATTTTTCTTAATGAAATACATATTTTATTTATTGTTTCCTTTTACCTTTATCATGGAAATCATAAAACGGACATATCTTCATTCGGCTCCTGGACCTTTTTATGAGGAACTAACTACTTTTACAAGAAAATTAATATATTTGAGCATAAGATAATACACAATTCATAGAAATTTATGTTTTTTTTTAATTCCGGTGTACTTTTTATGTAAGCTGTTTGCTGGAAAGTAAAGAATATTTTCAAATTTTTGTTGACCCATATTTTACCAGTTTTCTTCGTTTCTACGAGAACTCTGCTCCCAATATTCATAAAAAATTCAGCATGTTTTAATTTTTTTGTAAGATATATATACTTACTCACATACATACTTATGTATATAGAAACGTAACCTGTTTGTTAAGGTATGTATATGCAATTCATATTGATTTTTAGAAAAAAATGTGTTTTCTTAACTGCACTCGGAGGTTTGCCATTGCCTGCCGGGGGGCGACCGCTGTTTAGAGAAAACACTAACATATGTGAAAGCGGCAATCTATTATTACTATTATTATGTACATATGTTACCGTTGGACCACGTCAACGATGCCCATCGGAAAGGTTGTGTCTTACAGGTGGTCCCATACTAATTTGGTTTAGATCCGATGATTGGAACATCAAAAAATTAACGGTACTCCTAAATTTTTATATGATAATTGAAGTCGGTTGTGTTTTTTGCTTAAAAATTACTTGTTCCGTAACAAAAACTGTGACACTGATACGGAATAGAGCCGTAAAATTGTATGGGCTATAAAACTGCATACCCAAATATATATTTTTTTTGCGAAAATTTGTTGAATTTCGCTTAATTTTGTTTAAACTATGATTTATATGGATTTGGTTAAGGCTGGACAATATTTTTATATAAAAATAACAAAAAAAAAATATCAACTCGAAAATGTTAAAAATAAAAATAAAAAATCAACACGTGGTCACTTCTTTAAGTCACTGTATGCATATATAGCTTACAATAAAACAATAACAATTGTGCATATTAGTACATCTAAATAGTTTTTATTTATCAATAATATTATACTGTTTAGTATTCGTTATACGTACGTACATATTTAGCTTTTGTAATATAGATTATACTACAATTGATTAGATGAAATCTCGTTGCTTTGTTTTACGTATTCATTCATATATATGCATGTGTATACATATGTATATATATATTTATGTGATTATATACACATAGGCTCTTAATTGTCTACTATAATATTTTTTAGCTATTCAATTCAGTTTTCTTCGTGTTTTTTGTTATTAATTATCTAAAGCTTTTTACCTTAAACATTTGTCTTTCATTGCGTTTGTAGCATTTGTCTTGTTTCCTGCCTCAATAACAACAAATGCAAGTATATACCTGTGTTCGTATGGAATAGTAGCTTATGCCGGGAAGTTGGCTTTAGTATAATGCGGCATTCCCTTTATTCTTTAAACGACAAGGTCTTTTTTGATGAGACTTAAAAAGGATATTGAATTGCCAGTATCGGAACTATTTCTGCGCGTTTATTACCCATTATACAAAAACCAGCCTTACGCCATAAGTTACTGTTCCATACGAACACCGATATGTATATAATAATTTTTTAAATTAAATAGCGATTTGTAGAGTGACTACTTGAAATCGGTAAATATTGTACATGTTTGAACTTGTGCATAACTGTGTTGCAGATAACAATACTTTTGTCATAAAGGGGATATCATAAAGTTGTATAGCTTCATTTACTTTTACATACTATATTCCACTGTATTCTAACGTATGAAGCTACACAAGTGCACTTGTATCATTTTAGTTATATTACACATACAGGTAAGTATGTTTGAATATGAGCATAACAAATGGCTTGCCTGAAAGCAATTAATAAATTCTCTTACAACAAATGGGAAATTTAAATAAAATTATGCAACAAATACAAAAAAAAATAACAAGAAATAATTGGTGGCCAAAGCCAAAAATCGCAGGATTTGCTTTCTTAGCTTTTCTTATATAAACCAAAAAAAAAAAAAAAATATTTAGAGCGCGGTTACCCACGTAGCGTATACGCAGCGTAGCAAAGAAGTGCGTAGAAACATATCAAGTTTGCTGTTGATACAGAGAGAGAGAAGCAACGTCTTGTTAACACGCAGATCCCATAAGATTGACCGCGTCAGCTGACATGTTCTCCGTTTTTAAGTCCGTGGGTAAATGCGCTTTTACTTTTAAAACTGACGACGCATTTTTCTCCAATTTACCAAGTATAAAGTTTTCTTATTGTTGCTTAAAACTTAATGAATATTTTATTGTCAAGTTCATTCGCTGCCTTTGGTTTCGTTTCACTTTGCTGGTATGTACTCTGACTCACTACGCGCCTGCGTCAAGAAACGTTTAGCCAATTGTCTCCAAAAAAAAAATGCTGGTTGATCGCGCGCCATCTATTCATCCAGGCAAATTGTACGTAGAATAGCCTCTACCACCGAGTAGGGATCACAATTGGAGCTGGGACGACGATCCTCGAAATAACCCTTGCCGTCATCATTCACACCACGCGGTATGCGAATGGAGCAGCCACGATTGGCAACGCCGGCACTGAAATCATTGATTGAGCTGGTCTCATGTTGACCTGTCAGACGACGCG